TTTCTACACGCTATAGGTAGACTGTTTAACACACATGACCGAACCCAGCTGTCATTAGACCCTCTACATGAGACACACACACACACACACACACACACACACAGACACACACACACACTCCAGTAAAGACACATTCCCCTGTACACTTGCTGACATGCACTGACTGACACACTCACAGAAGAACTCAAACACACACACACACACACACACACACGCATTAAAGATGAAAAGAGAAAACTCCAGAGCCAAACCACACACCAACACACAACAAAGAAAACATGCACACCCTCCAAACACACACACAACACACTATCAAAGCACACACACCCTGTGGTTGTTTACTCATGCACGTTCCATCCAATCACAGCCTGTCGGCTTGACGCTCTGCAGCCCGGACGCTGCCTAACAACAACAACATGTGGACTGACAGTGGGGGGACTCCTCTTCATATTCCTCCTCTCTCCTCCTCCTCCTTCTTCTCTTCATCGTTCTCTTCTTCCTCGTTTCCTCCTCTTTTTCTTGAGCACATTTCTTCTCTCCTGTCTTCCAGCCTCTCGTTCTCCAGTGGCAGCAGGAGGAGTAATGAGGAGATGAGTTGTGTTTTAATAGCAACATGAGATAAAGAGGAGGACGGGAGAAAATGCTGTGAAGTGAAGGAGAAGTGAGGAAAGAAGGGAGGATTTGGGAGAAGAAAATAGGGCAGAAGAGAGGAGGAAACAAGGAAGAGAATAATAGAAGTAGAGGAGGACGGGAATGATGGGAAAGAAGAGGGAGAAAGTAAACAACAGAGGAGAGGAAGAAAAGATGGTTCAAGTAAACGGGAAGAGGGATGAAGAGTTCAGAGGAGGACAAGAAGGAGAGAGCAAAGGAAGAGTGAGGAGAAGGTTTCCTCTGCAGTAAACTCCACTGTACTTCATACTGACATCCCTTCTTTATTTGACATATTATTATTACCAATATTATAATTGCCCGCTATTGATTTTATAAGACTTTATAATCACTGGTAACGTTTTCATTATTGATTACTGACAGAGCTCTGGCAACATAATCTGAACTGTACTTCACACCAGTAAAGAGAAGAGAGAGGACAGAGACATTTAGAGGAAGCAAAGACACAAACAGTTTCTGGAGTCAAAGTCTGTTTCATATTTAGCCAGTTAGATTTAATTGATGTCTTTATATAAAATGTAATGTATAATTTTAAAAGACAAGGCTGTTGATATGTTTTTCTTTTCAACAAATCCCTTGTGCAGAGCAAAACCAGCACTGGATTTATTCTGAAGTATTGTGTGTGTGTGTGTGTGTGTGTGTGTGTGTGTGTGTGTGTGTGTGTGTGTGTGTGTGTGTCAAACCCCTTATTCCTCTGACCCACATCGTAGTCATCCTTGTTTGTGCCAGTAAGAGGTGAAAAGGTCATTTGAGTTACGATACAGGGAGATGTTTTCAGGTAGTTTATTCCTCTCTCCCATATTTGTAAAAAAAAAATACTTTGTGGGTCAATTCAGTTTTTTTTTTCAGTCGAACTGTTTCACTTTGTTCTGCAAAATAATGAATGTAATACAAATACTGTCAAACTGAATGAGAAAAAGACAGATATAAACAGAAAACTAGAATGACTCAGTGGAGCACATTCCTCCTCCAAGGTCAAACAATTGTACACGTCTGTCACCAGCAACAAACTGTTCAAACTCACAGATCAGCATCATAAATATGTCTGATATTTTACATCAAAACATTATTTACTTCGAAATTAAATAAATAATTCCTGGATCCGCCCCTTCAACAGGAGCCGCACCAAAATTTAACATGGTCTTCCCTGGTCCATTCCCCATCGCTGCACTCAGTTTGGAGCAAGTCAGTTCAGCACTTTTTGCTAAATCCTGCTGAGAAAACAAACGAACAAGTCAACAGATAAGGGTGAAAACATGACCTCCTTGATGGAGGTAATAAAAGACAGAATCGCTTAAAGAGGTTGACACATAGTTTTCTTAATGCCAAAGAGAAGACTTTTTTTTTTTTTAAACCACACACACTCATCACTATAACTCATACGCCTGTCTGTCCTGCCTCTTTTCAATCCCACATCTCCACGTCGCCGACCGGTACAATGTGGGAATAGGGAGTTTCTGTTGTATCATACGTCATCTTTTGTATGGCTCATGTTTATTTCATGAAATAAATAAATATTGCAAGTCATAAGAAAAGAAGGAGTAGGAGGAGGATGAGTGTTAAAATAATGGAACTGATGTATAAACAGGAAGACTGATACAGAGATCGAGGCTGATACTGTGCTTGAAAATTGGCTGTAAAAACTTTGTACTCTTGGATCTGAGCCTGAGCTCCGTCTGTATTCATGTCACACCCTCTGCAAGAGACAAACCCCTTATAAAAAAAAAAAGAAAACACAGACTCTGCAATGTTGCAGACTGCATCTGCATAATTCTCCCATTTTGATGATGCATTTCATGCGCAGTCCAAACCGTATTGACTTGCATTTTTTGTATATGCAATGTTTGTAGCAAAATGAATTAAGTGTGGGCGAGCGGCGCGTAACGCGGGCGTCGATAGTGCCGTCGGGCAACTTACAAATGGTGTAATTATCTCCTCATAAGGTTATTAGAGGATCAATGGAGCCTGGTGGCCTGATGGCAGAGGTGAGCTGATGAAAGATGGGAAATGGTCAAGACAAGCCGACTGCAGAGGTGCAGCATGGGTGATGTTAGAGACACACTGCTCATTTCTGTCATGTAAAATGCTCAAAACAAGGAAAAACAAAGAGAATATGATGTTCTTGGATTAGTACATGGTATGTTCGTAAACATAACAGAACAAGTCCAGATGTACTGTTGGATGTTTTGCTGCCATGTTTCACATTTGATTAAGTTTAAGGAACTGAAATTATTTGATTACGGTTTAGAACAGGTCATGGCCGTGGTCCAAAGGTCATTCACTGTCAGTAGAGGATGTGACACAAATTCTCTCTGTGGTGTCAAAGGAAACAATCCACAGGCCACTTTTTTCCAAGCAAACCAGTTTTACAGAATGAAAAGAGAGCGAGTTAAAGTAAGACAAGGCCTCTTAATGTCATTTCAAACATAATGAAGGGTTATGGACTCCAGGTCTGTCAGACCACAGAACAGAACACAGCTGAATCCTGGGTCAAGTGAGGACAGCTGGCATCAGCTGGTTTACCCAAAATCTAATTTACACACTTTCATGTAATGTCTTTTTTTTCCTGTTAATGTAATTTGTACTTGACTGTTTTATTCACAAGCAACACTTCTGTATCCTAAATCTCTTCATCTTCTCTGCTAATACATTTATCTTTATGTTCACATTTCTTTTACAAAGCACTTGTCAAAACAGAAGCAAAATGAATCAAAATACACATAAAAACCTGGAGAATAAAATAAACAAAGGACAAATGCACAATAATTTAAACGATAACTGAAATAAAATACAGTTTGAGTTCAACTTTATCTTCTTAATACTGATATCTCAATCAGTAGAAGTCGCATTTGCCATGCTAGTAGTAGTGGTGCGAGTGCTATGATTGCAAGTTGTTGTAGTAACACTAGTACAGTCCACTTGTACAGGAAGTAGACATAGCAGAAGTGGAGGTCGTGATTGTATTTATGTACATATGTGTATATATATGTGTATATATATATATATATATATATATATATGAAGCAGCATTAGCAACAGTAGTTGTGACAGTAAATGTTGCAGTGTGTTTTTCCAAGTATATTAAAACTAACTAGGACCAGCATCATGTGGTAACCTACCAGAATCAGACTGGGGGCCCAGTTTGGGCCCTGAGACGTAGCTTGAGAAACATTTCTGTGGTCGTTGAGAGAGGAACCATGTAACACTGTAACTGTACTAACTAACAGACTCCAGACTGTCTAACAAGACCCATAATTTCATTCACTGGAACCAGGAGCTGCCCCGCGCTAGTCAGGCAGCTCTGGCCTCAGTTCGGACAATGTGGTCCTGCCTTTGACTTTCCATCGCTGCAGCAAAATCATCAGAATTGTTTTTACTCATCAAACATGGCATCCTGGTGACAGATAAAATTTGGACACATAGAGAGACACCTCAAAACTTACTCTCCATCACTTATCCAGATCTGAGTTGCAGTGACAGCAGGTCAAGTAAATCTTTTTGTATTTAGCATTTTCTTGACTTTTTGTGGTTTGCCCAACCTCTGAGGATTTCAGTCAGCCTAGTTAGCCCAGCTAGACTCTTCCCCAGCCATGTCCTCCTCAGCTCAGTCAGATAAATAATCCCTCAGGTTCGTTCTGGGATTGCCACAGTAGACCCGTCCTAGTTGGATGTGTCCTGAGTAGATGTTGAAAGAATCACCTCAGCTGACTCGTCCCATCACGAAGGACTATCGGTTCTGCTCTTAGCTCCTTCCAGATTGAAGCTATTCACCCTTTCCTTTGTAGGCTAAGACTCTACAAAGGAAGTCTAAGTCTGCTGGGCAGTAACCACTTTACCATATGAGATGTACATAGAGCTTCACCTTGACCCTCAGACTGGTGGAGTCCAGGACAGATGATAGGGTCCAGTGTCACCTGAGGTGGCAGGTGAAGTCTCGATAGACTCGTAGAATCTTTTTTTCGTTCCTGTCCATCTTTGCATGACATTTACATTAAAGCATCGATTGGTATAAAGGAGAATTCAGAAAGGTAGAAACATGCTCGTCACAGCTGTAAGAGAATCTGGTTGAACGTGGACACAGGTGATGTAAACTGTTCTGTTTGAGTTCATGCCTGAAGACGACCTAGCCTGTCTAAGTCAGGACGCCACTGGCTCGAAATTATTGTGGTCTTAACAGTCACCAATGTTGGCAGAACCCAAAGATCAGTTGTAAGAATTTTTTTCATTTTTTCTTACCTGGGGGACTTCTATTTTGAAAATCAAAATTCTTGTGAAATCACCAAATCCATGCGTAACCAAGTCATTTCTGTCCTTTTACTCTTTGTCTCTAGTGAACGTCCCAGCCACGGTGGTGGAGGCCATGACCAGGCAGGAGTCCCTCCAGTCCTTCAGCAAAAATGGCAAGCCCTCCTCCTCCTCGTCTTCTGCCTCCTCTACCCCCTCCACCACCCTCATGCGCTCCATGGTCTTCCCCCACTCCCCCTGCTCTCGGAGTTTCTCCCTGTTGGACAAGGTTGGGGTCGGGGTTCAGTCGGACTCGGGTTTCGGCCAGCTGGGGTCAAAGAACCAGCGTGTCCTGGCGAGCCCAACCTCCACCAGCCAGCTGAGCAGCGAGTTCAGCGACTGGCACCTGTGGAAGTGTGGCCAGTGCTTCAAAACCTTCACCCAGAGGATCCTGCTGCAGATGCACGTCTGTCCGCAGAATCCCGACAGGTAAGAGCATCTGTGAACACGCCTTTATTAACATCAGCATAATAATAAACTCAATACATAGAATATCACAAACACAGGTAAGTTAATTTACTCCTGACTGGCACTGGACTCAAAGGATTCAGACTATAACTTTCAACGGCTTGAAAGAGAATTAAATAAGACATTTCCTTTCAGCCAGGGAAGCAAATTGACACTTTAACAACTTCCATGTCTCCATATCTTTTGTGATATAGCCTGAAACACTTCATACAGCTGAAACATTAACATCAAGAACGTGACACAGCACGAGAGTTTTTGTAAACTGTTGCTGCAGTTTTTCAGAGGACGCCAGCAAACCAGACACGTCGTTGTAATTTATGACTCATCATCACAACGTTTGTGTTACAGAAAGCGTGACTTTGTGGATGAGAGTTAAGAGAGCGTAAAAATGTTCGAGTGTGTATAACGTCTGCCAACTTAATTATATACAGCATGGAAGGAGGGAGGAAGAGTAGATGTGAGTGTGAGTGTGTGTGTGTGTGTGTGTGAGTGTGTGTGTGTGTGTGTGTGTGTCTGTATTTGTGTGTGTGTGTGTGTGTCGGAGGGACGGAGGATGTATTGGAAATTTTTTGCTTAGCTTTATTTTTTGCGGGGAGAATCAGAGCGGCGTATAAATCAGCGCTGTGCGTCAGTGAGAAATACCTCGCCTTACGGTGACGGGGCCAGGAAAACAGATGCCACTTATTCAATAAACTAATACTCATAGGGAAGAAAAATGTGGGCTGGATATGGAGGGGGGAGGGAGGGTCGATGTGGAGCTGCCTGTCAATAGGAAGGTTTTATGGGACAGAGGAGCAGATAAAATTCAGCTGAACAAGCCAAACAGAACAGAGTCCTGGAGCTTTGAAGCCCCACTGTACCTCACACTCATGTAGACCGGGGTTAGACCAGTATGACTCTGTCCATCACAGCGTCACCTGTCCATATGAAAAGCCAAAGTCCTGCCCCCCTCTTCAGGCTCCCCTCCTGTTGCCCCCAGACTCCTGAATGTTGATGATTCAAATCAAGACTCAAGGAGCATCCACTTCAGACCTCATGTTATCAAAGCAGATTTTATTTCTCTGCTCCGTCGTTGTACACAGAACTTAGGTAGGGAGAACGTCAACTAGTTCATTTTAGGCTACGTCCACTCTACTACGTCCAGAAGAGCGTTTCAGCTCCGTATCAGAAACTATCTACGTTCACTCACCACCTGAAAACACACACATACGTGATCATTCACACATGTTGAACATGTGCAATAGTGTAAACAGGAAGCAGATTGTCGACTCTGCAGTTGATTAGTTGCAAAAAATACTCTGAAGGAGAAACAATAAAGAGAGCTGCTGTGTTAAACTGCAGAATTTAACTGTACAACAGCTGCTAGCAAAGACAACAAGGTCAGTAACACTTTTATTTCATCGTCCATGTCGCTTCCATCACTGGCAGTCGAGGCAGTGAGACCTGATCAGGGAAAGACTGTGGGTGTCTTCATCATCGTTTCCACAGGTCTCTGTTTCTGTCGTCCGGACGACAACACAAACTGGAGTTTTCAAACTAAAATGAGTCCAGCAGCGTTTCCAAAAGTCACAGGTCCTGTTTCTTAAGGTCGTTGTGGAGGTTCCTGGTTTCCTGTCGGTGGTTCTAAACGTCCTTCAGGAGATTCTAACTACAACTAAGACAGTCCAACAAGTCCTCTAGGTGGTTCTAGTGGTTCTTTAGGAGGTTTTAGGGTCTTTTAGCTTAAATACTTATGGGAACTTGTGGAGTAACAGTGCTCTTCACCATCATCAGGGAATATGCTCTAGAAGAAGAGTTTTCATACTGCACTCATTCGCACTGTGGCTGTTTTGAGGTTTGAGGTGGAATAGCTCCACTGACATCCTTTATGTTTGTTTTTATTTTGATTAGTCATCCATCTGTAAGAGGCAGGTTTGTGTCTTTAGACATTAGAGCAGTGTGGCTGCTCTGAATACAGGCCCTCTGCTTTTTCACCATTGACCTCTCTTTTTTCTCTTTCTTGATTTTTTTAACGCCTCTCTCACCGTCTCTCTCTCTCTCGCCCTCCCTCTCTCCCTTCATACATATTTATTGATGTTTACTTGATGGGAACATTTGGAGCTGAAGACTGATGGCTCTTTATATCAGCATGAAAAAAAACACCACACACACACCACCTCTCAGCTCCATCTCTTTCAGGTTTGTTTTTTTCTGCTGACTGTTTCTTTTTCGGAACTTTTTCTTCTTCCGTGTCGTTTTTTCCCCTGTGTGTCATTTCAACAAAATCCATCATCAGAGGAGCCGTTTGTTTATGTCGATGAGGCCTTGGAAGTGCTTTCAGTTCAGTTTTAAACTGGTGTCAGGATGCAGGATACTGTTTAAGTTTTGAGATGGCGATGAGTGATGAATCAGGAAAAACATCTGAACATAAACGGACTGCATCTCCACTTATAGGTCTGACACATTACCAAAACAGCTCAGTATAAACCACAGCAATGACCTAAATTAATAACCACTGATGTTATGATTGATGTGTTTACTGCGCTGGTGTTTAAAACACTCATTAGTGCTTTTAGTGAAAATGGGGTATTTTTGCTGAGCACTTTGATCTCCAGTGTCCACAATTCAGGTCTGGTTCTGCAGGCTTGTTGTTTATGAATAAAGCATGTATGTGCATATGGACACAATCACGCTTGTATATCTGAGGACAGAAAGTTTACAGCTGATTGAAAGTGTGTATCATCACAGAGTTGACTTTACAGAGGAATTAAATGTTAAATTTGTCATTTGTTTTTGTTACATACCAATGATCTGTCAATGAATTGGCCTCAGCTCGTTGCTTCTCAGTTTTTCCAGTGGTTCATTTAAATATTTAATGTTCTCTGTTACTCATGTGAGAGCTGCAGTAATGAGGCATGTTCAACGTCGTACAATGAGCTAATTTACAACATGAACATGAATGATGTCACCAGCTTTTTGTTTTATATATTTATATATTAATGATATTAGATTCATTTTCAGGGGGATATTTAAAGGAGGTTTGAATTGTCTTAATAATTTATTTTGGTTGGTGAAGCGTCAACAGGTCAAACAGATTAATAAGCATCATTTATGCATTGATTCAAATTCAGATTCTGCAGATTTTTTATTAACATGCAATACAATGATGACAAACCAGTTCCGTCCAGCATGAATAAGTACAGCGTTAGTTAATTAAACAGAAGTAAAATATTCTACACAAAGGCTCCGACTCTCCATGTTGCTTTTGGCCCCTCTGCATCCTTTAGCTCCTTGATCTCATTTAAATATCAAAGATACAAAACATTTGATGATGCAAGGTTTCTCAGTGTTCAGTGCTCAGGTTGGTATTTTCCATCCAGACCTCTGGGACCTCAGACTGGCTCCTAATCTGCTAATTAACATTTATACTACAAATCCACAATTACTAATGACTGTTAAACTCTAAGTCCTTTTTCAATTATCACTAATTATATATTTGTTGTAGATTGTTGTTTATTGAGTTTGACCTTCATCATTAGATCTTTACAAACATGATCTGTCAGTTCGCACTGAACTCAGCTTGTATTTCTAATGAAGGTCTTCAGACCTGACTTTACTGGGCTGCAGCTGACTGGGAGTTTTGATGTGAGAGGAGCATTGTGGGTAATCAACAGCATCAATACGTACTGACTGAACTGTGTCCACATTGAGTCAAATCAAATACAAGACAGTTGTGTAACTGACACGAGACGCTGCGTCTTTTTATCCCTCAGAACAACAGAATGTAAGAATCTGCGGCTCATAACTTTTGTTGTAATCAGAGTAACGTCTCAAATAATAAATGATTTATTGTTGTTAAGGTACGTCGCTCCTTTCATGTTTTCACATCACTTTCTGCTCGGAGCCGAGAAAATTCTCAAAACACAATTAAGTCAAACTGTTTGCATGTCAGGCCGAAGCAAGACTGTTTCTCTCTGTTGATAAAAAGCTGACATTTAGGAGATTTATCACCAGGCACTGAGGACACATTTGCATTTAACACTAACACAGATGTGTTGAAAAATGACTTTTTTTTCTTTTTGTCAGTGTGTAGCCGCAGGAGTAACCGATAATGATCCATCACTGTGATGGACGGGCTCGTAGAAATTCCCTCAAAGTCTATTTTTATCTGTCATGTTTGCCACTAAAACAAAGATCTACTTTGTGTTGCATCTGCACAAGTGGATTTCAACATGTTTGATGCCAGTATAAATGTGGTTTGTCTCTTGTTGCTTGTTTGTTTTGATGCCACAGTTCAGTTTATTTTCAAAGCAGCTGCTCGTATCTAGTTTTATGTAGTAGAGTCACATTACAGTTCTGAGAGGCCTGAGACATTTCAAGGCATCTTGCATCATTGCACCTGATCAGATGAACCAAAAGCAGGTTTAAAGAGGTTGATTACAACAGCTGAGAGCAGAGTGGCAGTGAACGCACCATTAAACAACAACACATGATGCTAAATTGATGCTTAAGTGTCCAGTGTTCTTTGGAAAACATCAATAGATAAAAACCTTTGCAGGATCTCCTTAATGACTACAACTCCTGCATAAACTACACTACCCATATTGCTTGGTTTTAGTCCTAGGCTGAGCTGATGAGTGCAGCTGGGTGATGAGAGGACATTATGTGAGCTTTCTGCTTTAATAGTTTGGTCAATACAGTGAAAGAGAGAGAGAAACAACGAGAGAGATGGATGTTTGTGGAGGAAGAGGAGTGTAGTGTTTTTGTCTGGGGGTCTACCAGTGATTTTATTTGGATGTGCGCATGTCTGCTCACATACATACAGTATATATATATGTGTGTGTGTGTGTGTTTGTTCAGAGAGCCATTGATTGGGTATTGACGAGGCTGGAGCAGTGATTTATAGCTGCTGGTCTCTGGGGAATAATGTCTTCATACGAGGCGGACAGAGGAGTCGTCCTCACAGCGCAGATATAACTCCA